AGGGTAGATTCCCCCCCCCCCTCATTTAACACAGTCTAAGAATCTAAAGCACACAGAGGCCAAGTATCTGGTTAAACCAACAGAGAAGGGTTCACTCCCACAAAGTATGGGAATCACTGCTTTATATGATAGCGGCTTGCAGGCTTCTTTTCCAACGCAAAGTAAAATGAGATCATAAATGTTTTCGCATTTTCGATTTCTCACCCACTTAACGTGTCTGCTAGACTCCAGGCCTTTCGGCCGCAAGTCCTAACATGCCTGGTTGCCTGCACAGGCTCTGAGGCTGTTCCCAGGGAGCTGGGTGCTCCCTGTGAGCCACCTCCATGAAACAGTCATACCTGTTCCCGTCTTAGCATGAGGGTGACCCGATGTGGTCATGCAGCAAAGGACAAACAGAGCCCTGTAAGTTCCCGAGCATGTCTCCCACTTCTTACTTTAGGTTCATCAAACACACCTGGGAAGGGGGCCGGCCACGTGCCCCAGAGGTAGTGCTGTGGGGGACACTCCCCGGGGACACTCCCAAGAGACTTCTGCACCTCTTCTCGCCTTCTGTCTGCACACTGCACCCCCAGCACCTGCACCTTGGATGTGTGTCTGGGGGCTTGGACTTGCAGAGCGCTTCCCGTGTCTGGCAGGGGGATAGCTCTGCCCCTCTTTTCCCTTCTCTGCCTTCCTGGAGTATTTCTTTCTCTTTTTTCTTTTTTTTAAATTAAGATATAACTGACATCTAGCATCATATTTCAGGTGTACAACCTAACGGTTCAGTATTTGTATATATTGCAAAATGATCACCATAAGTGTAGTTAACATCCATCACCACAGAATTATACATTTTTTTTCTTGTGACAGCTTTTAAGATCTACCCCCTTGGCAACTTTCAAATCTACAATACAGTATTATTAATTATAATCACTGTGCTGTACATTAGGTCCCCACTTCCTGATATATAGAGGGGAGGGTGTAACGATGGAGAAGCCCGAGTATTAGAACGACCTAGCGGTGCTCTGGCTTGGGATCCCTGCTGCCCAGTACGGGGCCCTGGTGTTGGTGAGAGAAAGACCACCACCTCCAGTTGGATGCAGACAGGCTCTTTGTAGAGATAAAGTGCTGCCTCATGCCGATGGACTCGCCCCGTTAGGGTTCTAGATTTGACGGGCAGAGGGCTCATTGGGTTTCATCCTGACAGGCCCTCGGCCAGGCTCCTGGGAATAGAGAACCCCTGGAGGGACCGCTCACGGGACCCTGTGCTCTGCCCTGCCCCTTTGTGTGTTTACACCTCTGTCGGCACCTGAGGTTTGCATGCCTGTGTCTCAGCTGAACCCCACATACAAGCTTATGGGGCAGATAGACAGGGAAGCTGTTTTTATAGTTACGGAGGGTTAGCTTCAAGCTGCTTCTACTGATCAAAGGAAGCTCTTCCTTTTAGATGGAGTTACTGTAAAAGAAAGGTGGAGAATACAGCTGAGTTTAGACTTCACGTAATAAAATTTGTATTAAGAATTTTGTTTTACTTAGATTTTATGGAAAAGGGTTGAGTTTAGTCTAATAACAACATTGTTTCATCTTTCATCTCAGCTAAAAGTATACTTTTTGGCTTGTCCATAATTAAGAGAATTCTATAATGATAGTAAGGAAGGAAGAAATAAGAATAAAAATGGCAATATCTGTTTTTACTATTTTAATGAATTGTGGGCACAGAAGTTCTTTCAATACAGAGAAAATTAAATGGGAAACGTCGTACTCTGTTGAATATTAATTTTTAAGAGAGTACATTAAAGGTACAGCATAACAATATAACGAACTTGACCCCCCCGGGATTATAAACTTTCCTCTTTAACATGCTTGCTCTTTTAAGAGTCATTCATCTATACTTTGTTTTAGAGAACTCCAGTGTCACCTATGTCTACAACTATCCCCGAAATTCTACAACTTGCTTATAGAATTTTGAGTCTTTCTATTATCCTTATTATCCTTCTGTTTCCTTTTATCTTTCAAGAAAAAAATGAAAGGGTTTTCACAGAATCTTGAACAAATTACAGTAATTTAAAATTATGCATGCAATTAAGGAACTTTTTTTAGAGTATTAAATGTTGTCACACAGGAATGGATGTCATTTTGAGCAATAATTGCAGTTTGCCACTTTGGTAAATTAAAGTGACTTCGCTCCCGAATGATTGCTTGGTAGATGAATTTTAATTTTAATGGCATGCCAGTAGTCGACTTCTAACAATGGAATCTCCCGTTACCAGGCCAGCATCATGCCAGCCGAGACCTTGGCCGGCCCACTGGGGTCTTTGCCACCAGGGCCTCCAGGCTCCCATCCAGCTGGCTGTCTTACTCACATTGGACTGGCTGCCAGCCAGGGGCTTCCCAAGGCTATGACCATGGAGAATTCAGGTTGTGATTCTTCTCTCAGCTGAAGGCAGGGAGGAGAGGAGACAGAGTTAGGCCTGAACTTTGCCTTATGTCCCTTGACTGAGAAGATCCAGTCGTATTCTGCACGACAGGCAGCACACAGTGTAAACTGGTCGTGTGGCCATGAACCTCCACTATCCTATTGTGGAAACAGACTTGCACCTGCCGACTGCGCTGGCCAGTGCCTCTCCTGTGTCTCATGATCACAGTGCTTTGTCTTCCCCCAGCCCCTTTTCTATTTTCTTGCATTCATTAAATCCAGAAGTTTATAGATAATATTGCCATTTCCAACTGTTATCCAAGGAGACCTGTGGTGGCGATGGTTAGAAAATTGTCATGTAGTTGGGGAGAAATGTAGAAGATGAACCATTTAAACCCCTTCCTTGAATGCAGAGTAATCTTAGCTCAAGCTGCTGCTCATACCACTGGACTGCTCGATGGCGGTAATTAGCTTTGTGCCCAGAGATAATCTGGGCTTTATCCCATCACCTATAAAATGGAGGTAACAAAAGAGCCTGTCTTATAGTGATGGGAAAACTCATTGAGATGTTGAAGCTCTTGGAAAAATACTGGGCATTTATTGCATGGGCAGGTAAATTATTTTTATTAGCACTTTGTCTCCTTTCTGTAGACCAAGACTCTGCTTGTAGGCTCCTGAGAACTTCTGGATAAGTCTGTGGCTGGTGGTGAGGAGGAGCTGCCTACCATGAGTTTTTGATGGGTCCAAGTGACTCATGTCTCCTCTCAAATATAAACATGAGTTCTTGCTGTTCTGGGCTGGTGAACAACCCAGGGAGGCAAGACTTCTGGGTGGCCACGTGCCTGGGGCAGAGCGCCCTCCTGTGCCTTCCAGTGGTCAGGGACCTGGGCTCTAGTCCCTTCTAAAGGTTCTGTGAAAGGTGATTGTAATGATAGCAGTTAAGATTTAGCACTTACAGGATGCTGAAGACTGTGCTACGTGCTTTATGTGTGTCTTTGTGTATGTCGCATTCATTTTTAATCTTCACAATAACCCAGTGAAGTGAAACTGTTTTTATCTCCATTTCTCAGATGAGGCTAAGAGCAGTTAGTAGCTTGCCCCCAATCACACAGCTAGAAGGGCACCTGGCTAAGAGCAAGCCCACACTCCACAGGTGTATATATCATCTCTCATGTTTACAGCCCTGGCTGCCAACCAGAATCAGTGGGGAGCTCGGAGCCCCAGCCTTGGCAGAATCTCCACGGGTGGACGAATGCATTGGAGACCTTCAGGTTCCCAGGTGGTTTCAGTGTGCTTGTAGCAGGGTGAAAACCATGTGTTAGGGAAAGATCCACAGACTGATTGGGGGTTAAGCAGTAAAAATACCCATTGCATTGCATCATCAAAGGAAATTTTCCCCCCAGAAGCAGATGAAGTGTGAATTGATGACAAACATCTTTAGGAAAGCTTTGCCCCTAAGTGTGTACCATCCAGGTAATGTCTTGTAAGGTATCAGCAAGACAGTACTGAAAGTACACCTTCCTGACATTGTTAGCAAAGAGTACCTGTTGGGTAGAATGGGGTGGTCTACTGGCTGTTTTCTCGGGAGGCACCCGAAGCACACAGAGGTTGAGTAATTTTCTGAAAATCACACAGGAAATTGAGTAAAGGGCTGACTGTGAAATCAGACTATTTACCCCATCATCTTTTTCTCTGGGGCTTATGAATCTCAAGAGGGGTTGCGATTGGCGAGAGAGGGGAGAGGGTAACTGGCTGTCAGAGTCACCTGAGGAATCTATGAACTGTTTCTGCCTGTTTATGGTGACCAGAGTCGGGTGTACCTCAGTGATGTGATGTGTGCTTCAAAAAGGTGCCAGGGTTCTCCTGTATTTCTCTTGGTAAGAATCTGTTTCCTTGGCCTTTATAAAATCCCCAAACATTTCACCAGCATTATCCTATTCTTTCCATACTAATGATAGTTGCTCAAGGGGGAATCATTTTCTAAAAAACCCTTTTGTTTAGCACTTACAATTTTAAATACTTGTGAATCTTGGCGCTACTTTTAAGAGCAAACCCACTTAGATTTGTGGAGCAAGCTGACAGGGGTTAGGATGCATGTTAAATGTCAGGGTTTGCAGAGGGACACCTTTTCTGATCTCTCTTCTGTGCATTCTCTGCCTTTCCATCCACAAGTGCTGGCTGGCAGTGGGAGGCTGGAGGCTGAGTTGGTGCTGAGCTGAGTGGGGCTAAAAGATGGTCCCCTCTGATGGGTGTAAGTGACGGGGCGGGTGCTGCTTCATGGGGTATCCTTAGCACTTGTATGCGATCTCTCCTTCCTTAAATGTCAGTGATGTCCTAGGAGGGGATCTGACATAGGCCATCTTGTCGTGGAGGCCTCTGTTTGCCACTCTTCTCTGTGAACTTTGGAATCTTAAAGCCAGCACCTAGTGCAGTGGGCTGAGCCAGAAAATAGGGTGTGAGGACAGGATGGACAGTGCCTGGGGTTGATGTGTGCATGGGGGGTGGTTCTGTGTGTGGACGAGTGTGTGCACATGGGTAGAATGGTGGGAGTATTCTTTGTAGGGTGGGGACTTTTCTCTGGTGTCCTAGCATTGAAACAGAGACCTGTAGGACTCGATCCTTTGTCACCTGCATCTATGGAGAGGGCATTCCCAGCAGAGGGAACTGTAAGGGTAAAGGCCAGGAGGACAGGGCCAGCTTGACACTGTTGCAGGACAAGCATTGGGCCCAGTGTGGGGAAGCAAAGGGGAAGGTACTGGGGGAGAAGATCAGAGAGGGAACTGAGTGGCTGGATAACATGGGGGTTAAGCTTCAGCAGCAACCAGGACTCTTCAGAGTTTACGCTTTGAGTTCTAACCTATCTGTATGCTGCACACGATTCCAAGTTGTGGTCTCACCACCTAGTGATATTAATTTCTATCAGTTTGTAAAAATTCAGTCAGCTACTCTTGTGGACACATATCATTGCGATAACTTGAATTTTATATGACTTATCATCTTTCTGTATCTTTTAATGATCTCTTGTGACTCTAGTCAAATGAACGACACAGTCTCTGTGGTTTTCACACCTCGTGGGCAGCCTGGAGGCCTGCCAGCGTCTGTCAGGGGAGTGATTGATGCTGGCCCAGACCGTTGAAGGGAACTGTTGGAAGAAATGCAGTGGGCATTTTAATAAGTGTTAAAGGGCTGTCATTTTCTCAATGATCTGGAGGTACGCAGAAGATGTTAATAGAGCTACAATGTGCATACGTTATTCCGTGATTTTCTTTTAAAATCTATAGATAAACTTCCCCTCATAACTGTGTCCAAGCAGTTTAATGGGTGGTAGGAGTATAGTAATTAGACAAAGATCATTTTTTAGGAGTCCCGTGCTGCTGATGATCCCAGGGGCACACGCATTTTCATGTGTTCTGCTTTTTCTACACTTCCTTGTAAAGAAAAGACAATGTTTGCATTTACTTTTGGCCTTGTTATCTCACTGTTAATTATTTAATCCTGTGATGATTATTTCAGTGCTGGAAAAATGAATTTTGTTTTTATTTAGAGTAAGCAGTGATTTTTTCAAAGTGTGGACCTCAAACCAACAGAATCAGTATAAGCCGGGAACTCGTTACAAAGGCACATTCTCAGGCTCGACCCCAGGTCTGCTGAATCAGAAATTCAGGAGGTGGGGCCTGTGAATGTGCCTTAAAACTCTTTTTAATTTTGGTTAAAAAAACACACGCACAACATAAAATTTGCTATCTTAACTGTATTTTTATTTTTAAATATTTTGACAAGTATAGATGTATATATTAGTTACATTGGTTTCAGGTGTACAATACAGTGATATGACATTTTTATACCTTACAGTGTGATCACCCCACCAATTCTAGTAGTCACCTGTCACCGTGCAAGCTTATGACAGTATTATTGACTAGATCCCCCTTCTTTTTTACCCATACCCCCACCCCTCCCTCCTGGTTATCATCCCTGTGGTCTCTATTTTATCTTAACTCTTTTTAAGTGTAGAATTCAGTAGTGTTAAGTATACTCACATTATTGCACTATAGGTCTCCAAAATTTTTTCATCATGTAAAACTAAATCTCTGGACTCATTAAATAACTCTCATTTCATTGTCCCCCTAGCCCTTGGCAACCACCATTCTACTTTCTGTCTCTATGAATCTGACTACTATCGGTACCTCATATAAGTGGAATCTTACAGGATTTATCTTTTTGTGACTGGCTTATCTCACTTAGCATAATGTCCATAAGGTTCATCCATGTTGTAGCATGTGGCAGAAATTCCTTCCTTTTAAAGGCTGAGTAATACTCCATTGTGTGCACATGCATATACTATACCATATTTTTTGTCCATTCAACCATCGAAGGACATTCACTCTGCTTCCATCTCTTGGCTGTTGTGAGTAATCTGCGGTGAACATGACAGTGCAGGTACCTCTTTGAGACCCTGATTTCCTTTCCTTTGGGTATATACCTGGAAGTGGGGCTCCTGGATCTTGGGGAACTTCCACACCATTTTCCATAGCTGCTGCACCATTTTGCATTCCGAGGTAACACTGCTGCACACTCAAGTTTGAGAACCACTGGATTAAAATAAGGATACTGCCCACCTCCACAAAAGTTTATGTAAATGTCGTGACATTTATGTGAGAAATTAATCTTTTTGGGGCACCTTATCCAACAGGTGAGCCGGCTCCTGATTTTGGGAGGGGCCAATGTGAACTACAGGACAGAAGTGTTAAATAACGCCCCGATCCTGTGCGTGCAGTCTCACCTTGGCCATGAGGAAGTGGTCACTCTGCTGCTGGAGTTCGGTGCCTGCCTGGACGGAATGTCAGAGAACGGCATGACCGCCCTCTGCTACGCGGCCGCTGCTGGCCACATGAAGCTGGTGTGTCTGCTGGTCAAGAAGGGGGCAAGGGTAAGCAGCAGCCTTCCCCAGTGGGTAGGAAATGCCTTTATATCATTATTAGAATTATCGCCTGGGCCAGTCTGCTGTTTATCTCTACTTTGTTGAATTGCAATGAACAGAAATTGCTACGTAAACAGAAGGGATGAGCTCAGGCACTGCTGTGTGATACCACCTGAGTGGGTGCTCAAGTTCTCAGCCTTGGAGAGTGGGGGCCCTGTATTTTGCTTCTAAGCTCTTACTCTGCTTACTAAGGGCAGGAAAGTACCAGGGAAATCCCTGGCCACCAGCAGTATGAATAAGGCCATCCTTTCAAAAGCCTGCAAATGTTCATCTAGAACTTATCACAGAATTTAACAGCACTGATTGGTTGGAAAGATTTAAATGTTTGATTTTTTCCCCCCCTCCTTATCCCGTTTCTTTTCATGCCTTTTTTTAAACAATAACATGAGTTCTGTGGGTCTTAGAAGCCATGTGTTTGGGCACATGGATCCAGGAGGTAGACAGCCCAGAGTCCTCATTTCTCCAGCTGCCAGTTAGGATGTTGGGCAAGTTGTTGAGGCTGCATGTGCCTCAGGCGTCCCATCTGTAACATGAGCATAGCAACAGTGTCTACCACAGGGCTGTTGTGAAAGCATTAAATAAATCCATATGTTAACATTATTAATAAGTTACTCCAGGGCTATCAATGTTAATTAAATAAGAACAGTGCCTAGTGCACAGCAAACTCTATTTAGTTTTACTATGAGCATTTCATTGGAGGAGGGGGGCAGGGGCATGTGCTTTTGAATAACAATAGAAATAAATCACTGATGTTTGTCTTTATTAATTAGGATATTTGAGGTTCAACAAAAAGACATCAGGCTTATAGTAACTGTGGGAGCTCTTTTTGGTATTTCTCTCAAAAACACAACATTTGGGATGAATGAACTTTAATTTAGCTTGTGGAAGAAGAGAAATGTTGCTGTTAAACATTCCCAGTGGGCGCATTAATGTACTCGGCACGCCTCCACTTCCACATCCAGAGGGCGACTTAGTTTTATCCGCAGACCAGCAGGCCCCTCCTATCCCAGCTGAAAGACCTGTAGGATGGCAGCAAGGGTCACATAGGTGGCTCTTGCAAAGCCTCTGGGTAGGTATATAGAGCATCCCCGGAATTTTGCAAGCAAGAAGAGGCTGGACCCTATGCTCCTCTCCCAGCCCAGTGTTCCCGAGTTTAGACAGGGAATGACCTGCTGCCTGTGGACCTTTAGGAAGTACGCCGCACTCAGCTGGCCTTCCCGGCTCTGTAGCCATGCTTGACATGTGGACATGTCCCAGGTCACCTGCCTGCACACAGCCTCCTACCCCAATCAGATGCCACTCAGGAGTCCCTTCCTGCCCTTACTTGTTCAGAGCTGAGTTTTCCAGATCCCTCCCTTTGGCTGGTTCACCTCACTTAGTGACTACAGAACTGCTCTGCTCCCCAGAATGTCGCCTGTCATAGCAGATTCAGAATGTTCCACTCAAGGGACTGGAGTTGGTAAGCACAGGGCTTTGGCTGTGGTTTTGGTCTGTGTCCTCGCACATGCTCCCCAGAGAACTTGGAGTTCCCAGTTGTTTGCTGGAGAGTCAGGGAGTGAGGAGGGTGTCTGTGGTAGCTGGTTCTACAAAGGGAACCTGAGACCTGGCACAGTATATTCATTACGTCGAAGTAATTCCAACAAGATTCTGTGTTCTCCAGAAAGACACATTGGAGCATGAACCCCATGTACATATGCAGTGGGATACTGTTTGCATGTAGCATTGTGTTGGACCCACATTCTCAGAGCAAAGGTGATGATAAATGGTGACCTTTCCTTCTCCTGCCTTTCAGCTGGACCATTTGGATAAGAAAGGCCAGTGTGCACTGGTCCACAGCGCACTGAGGGGCCACAGTGACATTCTGCAGTACCTGCTGTCCTGCGAGTGGTCAGCAGGTCCTCCCCAGCCAGGCACGCTGAAAAAGAGCCAGGCCCTGCAGCAGGCACTGACAGCGGCTGCCAGCATGGGCCACAGCTCGGTGAGTGGGGCTCTGTGGTTCCTTCTTGGGAAACTGGATTCGTGGTCCAGCAGGGTGGGTACTTGTGCCAGTCACCTTCTTCTGAGTTGCTGGCATGTAACACATGGAAGAAATGAAGAAAAATGAGGATTTCAAGAAACAGCAGTTGGTTTGACCACGTGTCACCGTGGTCAAGGGTGTTGGTATAATACCCTTCCCAGAAATGAAAGCCCAGAGCCTATAGTGTCAAGTGTGCAAGGGTGCTCACGTGATGGTGGCAGCCTTCCCTCACATGGAGCCCTCGTAATATTCATAATGTTCATTTTCTGCTCTTCCTTCTCTATTTCTTTTTTAAAAATTGATCTTAGAAGAAAGAGGGAGAGAGAAACAGAATCATTGATGTAAGAGAGAAACAGTCATCAGTTGTCTCCTGCACCCCACCCTGAAACCTGGTTATGGTGCCCTGACCAGGAATCGAACCCACCTCCTTTTGGTTATGGGATGATGCTCCAACCAACTGAGACATGCGACCAGGGCTACCTTGTCTGTTTCTCTCTTCCCTCCCTCTTCTACTGTTATGCTCTTACCCTGCTGCCTTACTTTTTCCCTGAACTTTGGTTCATTCTTCTGTCCTTGTGATCTTTTAAAAATAATCACATGGAATCCTAATTCTAAAATCATCCTTGAGTATTTGAAGGCTTTAAAAAATAGAACCCGAATGCTCCCCAGCCTGTAAAAATGCCTGCCATTCGTAGTTCCTGCACTGAAGGAAAACTCTGCAGTAGATCAGTAGAGCACTTCTTTTTGGTAGACGTTGGTATTCCCTGGTTTGAAGGTTTAATTGTCATCTCCTGACTAATGTGTCTGTGGATTTGATAATATTTTACCAGCTCCCTTCTGTGTATTTCTCACTCTGTATGATCCTCAAGCAGTCAGTTTCCTGTATTTGGTAAGAATCTTCCCCACAATGATTTAAGGTAAATTTGGGTACAAAGCTGGCTAGCTGGATAACTTTTGGTATTTAAAACACAAGGGCAGACATACCTATGTGCACGCACACATGTTAAAAATACACATATACAGCCCAGCTGGCGTGGTTCAGTGGTTTAGCATTGACCCATGAACCAGGAGATTATGGTTCGATTCCTGGTCAGGGCACATGCCTGGGTTGTGGGCTCAGTCCCCGGTAGAAGGTGTGCAGGAAGCAGCCAGTCAGTGACTTTCTCTCATCACTGATGTTTGTAACTCTCTCTCCCTCTCCCTTCTCTCTGAAATGGATGAAAACATATTTTTAAAAAATACACATATACAATACTTCAACACAATATATTGCATCAAGTTGAATGCAGAAACATATAAGAGGATGCAGCTCTCTTAAGAGAGATATGAGAGATTTACAAAAATATGAAACAATGCCAGTCAACTTACATGTTTTAGTTTGGGGAAAAAACACTCATATTTAAAAAAAAAAACTTTCATAAAAATATGTTTAATGTTGTATATAATGGGTTTATGATAAACTCAACTTGTTTTAAAGCTGGCTAGGAGGAATGCTGTGCAAAAGCAACCTCAGCCCAGCCAGTAACAGTTTCATGGGAAGGGGCAGGATTCATTCACCAAGAAACTCGAAGGGTGTATGTGCTTGCTAAGGCTGCTATAACAAGTGACCACAGACTTGAGTGGCTTAAAACAGCACACACCTGTTTTCTTATGGACCTGGAGGTCAGAAGGCTAAAGGTAAGGTGTCAGGAAGCCAGTGTTCATTCTGGAGGCCCTAGAGGGGAATGGTGTTTAGCTTTTCTCTAGTTTCCGGAAGCCACCTGTATTCCTTAGCTTGTGGCCCCTTCCTCTGTCTTCAAAGTGCATCACTTTAACCTATGCTTCTGTCCCATCTCCTCCTTCCTCTGACATGTTTTTCCTGTCCCTCTTAGAGGACAGCTGTGATTATGTCAGGTTTATATGAGATATGCACCTGGGTAATTCAGGGTCATCGTCCCATTTCAAGATTTATAATCACATCTGCACATTCCCCCTTGCCATATAAGGTAACATTCCCATGTTTTTGGGACAAAGATGTGGACATATTTGGAGGCTATTGTTCAGCCTGCTGTAATGGGTACAGCCTGGGAGACAGGAAAATGGCTCTGCCGTCCTCTCCTGCTGCTGCTTTGCACAAGGTGAACACTGCTCCTGTTTGGGGCTCAGATCCTTCCGATTCCCCACGAGCCAGCATTCTGCCTCCACATCTGTGACCCAGCCTGCTCTTTGATGGGGAGGTGGCCATACAGAAAAAAGTAATAACATTGTCAACATAAAAATCATTTGGGCAGTACTAATTTTATTGAAAAGATGTACACTGCCCTGTTTTCTTTCCTTGTGAAAATGGATTCACCATCTTCGCGGGATTTATGCAGAAGCTGCACTTTGTGTGATATCCTGTGTCCTTCGTTGATTAGGCTGGCATATTTGGGTCATGTTGGAATTCATTAAAATTCTGAGTACCTGGTAATCCTGAACAATGTTGCTGAAATTCACTGCAGTTTTTTTTTTTTATTCTTCTTCTCAAAGTGAAAGTGTGAATAGCATATGAATTATGCTTGAAAACGGTTTTCATTATATTTTCTCTCCTTGTGCAGCATGAGATAATCATGGTTAAAAAACAACAGACTCTCTCCTTTGATACATGGGGTATAATAAGCACATATGGCTGCGAGAACTCACTGAATCACCTTTCCACTTCTGACAGGTGGTCGAGTGCTTGCTGGGACTGGAAAAGGAACATGAAATAGACGTCAATGGCACCGACACGCTGTGGGGAGAAACGGGTAATTATGGCTGCACTGCTTCCAGTCTGGGCCAGCCTGATGTTTCTGCCCCCGTTTTGGCCTAATTGTCTGAAAGGATGACTCGGGATGCGTATTGTCCTCTTGTTACTTTATCATTCAAAGCTTCTCGCTTTTAAAACTTCCCAGATGAGTAGTAAAGCTTTGCTGGAAGCATATAAAATTGGAATCATTTGGAATTAGACCAGCAGTTCCTGTTAATCTGATGAATGTCAGCTAGAAATGCTGCACCTGACGAATATCAGCCAGAAAGACCTGAACAAGGTGTTCCCGCATCCTCACCAACCTGGTCTCCTGGGAGCAGGGCAGGAGCTTCCAGCCCTGGTCCAGGTGAATCAAAGGTGTTCTGCAAGAAAGGCTGTGGCCTGTCCTGTGGAATGAGAGCAGCACTCGGGCCTCGGGGATCTGCTTAAATACTGAATACAGGCTACCAAGTCCATTTCCATGGGGCGGGGTGGTATGTGTGTTGAACTGTGGCATGGGAAGGAATCCCACAGTGAGTGGAACTTAATGAAGATCTGATTTGGTTACCTGTTGGGTTAATATGGATAATGCTGCTTTGAAGTTTTCCATTGGACTGAATTGGTATTAGAAATGTAGGACTGAGTTATGAGTTGTTGTTGACTTGATGTAACCAAGGGTGTTTAAAATGTGTGCCCAGCCTGTGTGCTGTATGTGGGCATAGTGTACACGGCTCCCATTTCTCTTGTGCAGATTTATTGCTAAATGCCTTTGAATTATTTCCTAACCAGCCAAATGGTAGTGTGTAGTGTTTATCAGCTGACTCAGACTTAAGAAAAGCCTCAGAGTTTGGGGGTGGGGGCGAGCTGCAGGCCTGCACTGCAGGGCCTCTGATGCTCTCCCTTGGGGGCTGCCACCCTGCGTGACTTCAGTGCCTGCTGTGGTGCCTCAGGAAGGGGTGGCCTGGCCTCTGGCTCCAGGAAGACTACAGGACCCCAAACAGGGTTGGATTATGCTTGGGGCTAAATGTGTGTGGGTTTAAATATTGCCCTTAATTCTTTATGGTGTCTTTCCCCCACGCATTTAAATGGTATAGGCTGCTCTATAGATTAATAAAAGAAAAGTTTCCGTCCATGTTCATGTTGTTTTGTGGGCATTAGAGTAGGATAGTGCGTGACCTTGTTCTGTGCTCAGCCAGAGAGTCCAATCCCTCCTTTCCTTTGCCTGGTGTAGCAGGTTTGGACAAGTTACTCTGCCTCCTGATCAAATGAGGTAAACATTATCTACTCTCCAGGATTGTGGTGAAGATAAGGAATCATGTCCCAGTGTACCTAATATTACGATCCCTTGCCCCGCAAGGCGTGGCTCAGCAGTTGAGCGTCAACCTAGGATCCAGGCGATTGGGGTTCAATTCCTGGTCAGGGCACATGCCCGAGTTTCGAGCTCAATCCCCAGTCGGGGAGTGCAGGAGGCAACCTATCAATGACTCTCTCATCATTGACGTTTCTCTCTCTCTCTCTCTCTCTCTCTCTCTCTCTCTCTCTCTCTCTCTCTCTCCCCCTCTCTCTCCCTCTCTCTCCCTCCCTCTCTCTCCCTTCTCTCTGAAATCAATGAAGATATGTTTAAAAAAAAAAAAAAATCCCTTGGGATCCTGATTCAGTAGGTCTACTCATTTCTCCAGTCACTAGTATACACGTGTTTCTGTGTCCAAACATTGCTGACTGGTCACAAGATAACTCCTGTCTGCACTTACATTAATTTAAGTAATTTTAAACACCTTGCTGACAGGTCACAACGGAAAAGTAGCCAGCCACACCGGCGAGTTCTGGTTTGAAATAGCTGGTCAGCAAGGTGTTAACAGGCATCCCAAGTTGTGTGAGGTGACTCATGACTTCAGGACAAATAGAGAACCACTGTGAAAGCTGTTTGCAGTGTCCAGCTTGTGGTGACCCCTAATGAGAGGTGCTCGTGGTGGCGATGGAGGCTAGTGCTAGTGGTAGTTAACAGCGCACACTGAGCTTACAGGGGCATCTCCAGCCTTTAATACTGAAGATGACTTTTCTTTCTGGAAGAAAAATCCAGAGAAGGGCTGCATGTGAGGACCCTGTGTGAGTGAGTGGTCTGTTGTCTCTTGATGACCCATCCTGAATGTCAGGATCCCCTTGCCCCCTTGCGAATCTGCTAGGCTGATTCAGTCTTACTGAAAAAGTGAATCACAGTTCAGCTCCACCCTTCGGAAGCACACCCTGCAGACCACTTTGCAGCCTGGGAAGTAGTTCACACCCTTCCTCAGCAGGCTTCAAGGGTAAATTTCATCAGCTAAGAGTTTGAAGGAATTTTTTTATTACACCAAGAAAAAGTTAAGCACTATTTCTTAGGTTTAGAGGGGCCCTCGGGGGGCTCTTTGTGGACTGCATGTCAATAAAATCAATCTTGCCTTCTCTGCATTTCCTATCTGGTGTTCCTTCAAAAATGACCACCATTATCTGCTACTCCAAATCCTCCTAATTTCCATGTCTGTGGTCGTCAAAAAAACAGTTGTACTTTGAAATCTTGCAGAGGACATTTTAAATGAGAGAGCATCTGCAAATTTGGGGTATTGCCCAGATCATGAGGTACGTGCTTGGGATTCGGCCACAGAGGGTCCATGTTCCCTGGGCCCGCATGCCCCCTGGAGAGGGCGAGTGAGAGTGGGTGGCCAGCTCACAGTGCTCATTCTCACCAGGCAGCTCCTGCGGCTCCCCAGCCCCAACGGGCTGCACTGCTCTGTGCACTGCTTCTCGTTCCTGGGGACCCTTGGAAGTGAAAGCCATTGTTTCACTTACTGGTTCTGTTTCGCCCTCATTCCTGGGTGTGGTCAGTGGTGATTTGTGTCTCAGACACTCTAGAATGGGGCTTATCTGTCTCCAGTCACAGCTCGAGTGTAGCATCCTGAGTGTGACTCTATCTGGGGTGTGGGAAGGTGACAGAACTGGAGGCTCTGTATGAATACTGCAGTTTGTTATTTGTGAACCCTTGTATAACTTTATGCAAGCCTGACAGAGCTGCTGAGGACTGGGCTTGCAGGTGGGTCTCCCACATAGCAGCTCTGCCCTGCAGCTAGCTACCTAGGCCCTTTGCTCCGGGACATTCACAGACTTGGTCAGACAGTCTCAGTCTCCGTCTCCTGGTTTCTGGGCAGCCTGGAACATGACAAGAGCCCATCAGATGCTTGTGTGATCTCTGTCTCAGGCATTCCACAGCCATGACAAGTAAGTCTGGCTCCAATGAAGTCCTGACCAAACAGAGCTGCTATTTCCATGTCAGTGTTTGATGTGAATTAGCCCAGCCTGAAATGATCAGAAGCTAGATGCTTACCTGGTGACCTCATGCTGTTGTGAATTGTAAGAAAGAACTGTTTCCAAACTCCAGGCAACTCTCACGACTGTGAGTCTGCTGTCTGTGTGTCTGGTCAGAACTTCTAGCTCTTCGCAAAGGTACAGAGGCCCTTTTATTTCAGCATTTGCCAGTTTATGTGCAAATAATGCCTGTCTTGTAAGCAAAGCCTTCCCTACTCTTACTCCTGTAGATCACTTACCAGTTCCCTTCACAGCACTTGTCACTTACAAATTTCATTGTTTTGTTGTCGCTTATTTGATAAAAGGCTGTTTTCCCCCAATTGTGGGCTTCAGGAGGGGAGAAATTGCCATGTCTCTTGCACTTACCTGTATGGATGGCAACTGTGTCCAGTCAAGTGTTCAGTAGAATTTTCTGGGATGGTGGAGGTGTTGTCTACTTGTGCTGTCCAGCCTGGTAGCCACTAGCCTAGTCTGCTGCTTGTCACATAGGTGTTAACTCAGTGGACAAGTGGGTGCATAGAAAACAAAGCCATATAATTTTTAGGGTAGGTGACATTCACTTTGCAGAATAATTTGGGAGAACTCTTGTTGTTTGAGGGGGAGGGGTAAGGAGCCCCATACCTGCTCCTCATAAGGACCCAGTCTTCTGGTTTCTTTGTGTCTGTCTGAGTGCAGGTCATGTCCTGCTGGATCCCAGACTGGCTTAGAAACTTGTCCTAGTCACCGATGTCACGCACACCGTGTCGTTGGGTGCTGGATTGCATCTTTGGGAACACAGGTATTAGCAGCCAGACACAGTGTAGGCACAGGACCAGATGGCCTATGGCAGCCCCACCCAGCTTTGAGTTCATAACATCTCCCTCCCTGCACCACCAGCCTGACTGCATCCCCAGGATGGCCTGTGTTCCCACACGTGTCCCTTGGAAATCCTTCTCACTGCTTTATCTCTGGTCTACCAACAGACCTGGAGTCCCAGGCTTCACACAGGGATAGATTGCTGCCCTGCCCATTGGCCCACTGCTCGCATTGGCCCTCTCCTCACTTCTGGAAGGGGATGCTCCAGCAGACGTAATTAGATGGATGGCTGAAATACTTCATGGGAAGTGTCCCTTTATGCTGTCCGTGCTGTTTTAGTTGGTAAAATACTTTAGTTGGCAAATACTTTCCAAAGAAGTTTAGTCATTGTAAATACTATGGGATTTTTTTATTGCCAAAGCTGTTAAAAACACCTTATTTGCCCTTACTTCTACGAAGGGCTGTATTTTGACCACTGTAAATTGAACATATTGCTTAGCTGCATAGCCCTCCATTTTTGTAGCCCTTTGAAGCAGTTCAGTTCAGCATGTATGCTTATCACAGGTCACTATTTCTAATTCTAGACAGAATTCTGGCCACGCCCTGGCCACCCCTGGAACTTGAGTCTGAGGCCTAGCAGCTGGGGTGGGGCCCCCTCCAGGCCAGACCTCGGGGAGAGGGTCCTCACACCCGTTTCCTTACTGGGCCATGAAATATAGTTGTATTTCCTCCTTGATGTTTTACGAGTTTCACTCTTTTCTCCACAGAACTGTTTTAATTTCCACTCTGTGGCTCTGCCTGTACCCCTGGAGGAGAGGTGCCCTTCGGTTCTGAATGGCAGGTGGCCTCGGCTGCCGTGATGACTGAGTTTATCACGGAGGCTGCCCC